ATGGGGTTGGGTTTTTTTAAATGATTCATTACCAGTGTGATTGTACTGCCACTCCCTTTTTGCCAGAACAAAACCTGTTTTGCTTCCTTAGGCTATATTTTACTCGGCCACAAGCATGTTTTCTTTGTGTTTCTGTTTTAAATGACAGTCCTCCCAGCTCAAGAGGACAACTTGTTTCATAACGCTACAGGAATGGTTAGCCAAACTTTCAGGGACAGTTAAATCATTATTGAAATACAGAAGTAGATTAACAGTTAACATCTGCTTGGTTATATGCAATGCAGGCAAGAAAACTTATGTAACAACCTTTTACCCTGGGTGGCTTTAAAAGGCGGGGGTGAGGGGGGGATCTTGGCGGTGGCAGGGAAATGAGAACTTTATATTCATCTCTGTGGTTTCTGCTGTTCAGTGTCAGCTGCTTCCATCTGGTGGCCATTTTGGCAAGAATCCTTTATTTAAAAAAAAGTGTTTAAAAAACAGATGTGTCTTCTACCTCCCCCGAAAAGGCAAATGTTTTCTCCATTTAGGTTGTTAAGCAGCAAAAAGAGTGTATTAGTGTGACATAACGTGTTTAATTGTCATGAAGTAACTGAGGATTATTTTCTCCAACAGTGGCTTATCAGATACAATAATACTGGATATAATATCCAACTACCTGGTCCTTCCAAATAGAATTACAGTCCCCCTTGTCAGTGAAGTGCAGATTGCTCAGTTGCGGTTTCCTATACCAAAGGTAAGTATGTTTCTGTTAATACTAATGATTTGGCATTTAGTTTTTTCTGTAGTAGTAACTGTTAAAGATACGCACATCTGTGTGAATTTCTAAATATAGTTATTGCAGTAGTACAAGTTATCGTGAATCCAGTCACTTATAATAGTTGATTTAATTTATAAATAATTTCTATGGAGTTAATGTTTCATAATAAAGCCAAGAAGGATTTTTTTTGTTTTGCTAGAATCTTAAACATACTATTTGTTAAAATATAGTTCAACTGTATAGACTAAAAATTAAGTAGTACATGATTTGTATTATCACTGCAAATTATTGTTAGTGTTCTTCACTTGAAAGTTGTTACTACTCTAAAAATTATAGTACATGATTTGTATTATCACTGCAAATTATTGTTAGTGTTCTTCACTTGAAAGTTGTTACTACTTATTGCTATTCACTTCCAGTAGCATGGCATTTCTTGATATAACTGGCATGTTTCTGATTGTTGATGACAGTTTTTCTTTTCAGTAATCTCTTGAGTGCTAGGTCTGCTGTGTATGTGGATCATCATTGATATCCCTTCATTTACAGTGTGTCCAAACTAAGTTTCATGTTAAGGAAATGGCAATGGAAATTATAAGACAGACACTGCATAAATTGTGATGACATGGAGGCTTTCAGATTACTACATAAACTCATCTTTTTCTTTTTCAGGGTGTTCTAAGGATACACTTTATTGAAGCTCAGGACCTGGAGGGGAAAGATACTTACCTAAAAGGGATTGTCAAGGGAAAGTCAGATCCTTATGGAATCATCCGTGTGGGCAACCAGATTTTCCAAAGCAAGGTCATCAAAGAAAATCTCAATCCAAAATGGAATGAAGTTTATGAGGTATAATCAATAAAAATACCTTGTTGTGCATTCTGTAAAGTTGTCTTCTAAAGTTTCTTTTGTTAAAGAAGGTACTCTAGGGGCTTCCTTGAGGAGCTTCTTGATGTCTCCCTCTAAAAGGCCGAAGTTCTGTAACAAAACAGAAATTCTCCATTGACGTATATACTACTTTTGTCTAGAGTAAGAATCAGTAATTCTGTAAAGTAGTCTAGTCTCTTAAAGCCAACATTAGCAAATTGCATCTGAAAAGCTCTTATACTTGCTCTACTCATTAAATTGCATCTTTTTTAAAGCATATTGATATGTTTTAATACACAAAGGCACTGCAGTTCAATGTTTTACTGTTACTGTGCCATTTAACAAAGCTAGTTAGTTTTACCATTGACAGTGCCATCTTACTGTACTTCCAGGCCTTAGTATATGAACATCCAGGACAGGAGCTAGAGATTGAGCTCTTTGATGAAGATCCAGATAAAGATGACTTCCTGGGAAGGTAAATGTTATGGACGATATGCTTGTAGGTATTGAAAAGAGATGAAATATTTTGATGTAATCTTTTTTTTCTTTTTGCATTTTATTGCAGTTGTAGTTCTGCTATATTACTATATGTATAAATTGATTATCTTTTCAAAATGGTGGCAGTAAGTAGTTCCCTAATTACTTCATATATGTAAATATGTGTATATAAAAATGTGCTTGTTGTGTACATACGCATCTATATGTTTATATATTTTTTTAAAAAATAAGGTAAGTATTGTGGGTACCCAGAAAAAAAAAGGGTTGTGTGGGGTTGTTTGTTTGTTTTTTTAGGAATTGTACCCTACCTGCTTTAATGTTCATAAGCTAGCACTAAGTCTTAATTATTTCTTCAGACAAAGTTAATATAGCTTTATAACCGTGTATCTTCTTCATCTTCATCATTTTTAAATGGCTAGCTCACAGTTTATTTTTCTCTAAGAGCTGATCTTAACTATTTGGTTAAAGAAAAAATTTTGCTGTAATGCTTTTGCAAACATTACTCACTCTTAGATTCTATAGGCCTACCTTTAGTGTTTACCCATAAACATTTCAGGGTTTTAGTCAGCTTCTTTCTCCAGTAATTTGTCACCTTTATTTCTTGCAGAGTTTGGAGCTTCCCATTGTTGCTTTCCATACAGAGTAGAACTCCCTTATCTTTGCAGCTCCTTCTCTCTTAACAGGAGCAACAGTACCTACTTCTCTTCTCATTAAAATAAAGAAGTAGGTAGTACAAAGGCTTCTTTTCTTTGCACTTCCCTAATCTTACACTGAAGTGGTGGGGGGGGAAAGTGGCATAACGTGTACATCAGTACTAATAAAATACAAAGCCACGACAAATGTTCATGCACTGGCATGCAGTTGTCTGCCCTGTTTAATTTTTAGCAGATTCCCTGGTACATTTTTAGCTTGTGTGAACTAGCACTCTCCCAGACAATGCCAAAGCATGAATTTGGTCATAGCATCTGTCCAGGGGCTATTTCCAGTGGGTAGTTTGGATGTGGTCACTGTTTTGAGAGTTTGTTCATACGTATGTGAGCCATATTGTGCCAGTTGCCCTCGTAGATAGAAAATGGGCTCTAGTATAGGCATATTTTCTGTTATCTTGCATTCATCTTTGTTCAGACATTTCATTCCCTACTTCTTCCTCTCTTAGGGGCTAAAAGAATAGTATTCTGCTCTTTTGATCTCAGTGGAAGCCTGGATACTCAGCAAGCACAGGGTGGGGTTAGAGTTCTGTATTAGATTTTTTGCTTCTTGGCTAAAATACAGAATTTTTTTTTTTCTTTTTTCTAGTTTGATGATAGATTTAATTGAAGTTGAAAAGGAGCGTCTTCTAGATGAGGTAAGTGTTGAGTAAGTTTTGGTTTAAAAAACCCCATCTGTTGCATATGTAGTTGTTCTTGTAATTTTTTTTTCCCTGGGGATAGTTCCTGTATGTGCATGAATAACCTTAATGCTATAAGAGTAGATTCCCTGACAATCAATACAGTGGTTTAAGGGATATCTGAATTGGTGAGATCTGAAGAATACTGCCATTCTTCCGTCTTCGGGTTTTAAGATTACTGGTATGTAAATGCAAAAAACAGTAACTTATATATTTGGTGAGAGCTTTTTCTTGCAGCAAAATAGTTAATTGCCTGGTTTAACTATTATTAGACGTAGCAGACTAATTTTGTCCTATATGTAAGAGAGATTTTATAGTAATGTTACACAGGGTTTGTATTTCCAGAACGTCTTTACAGAACTTAAGGAATTCTCTTGATATTTTAAAAATACTTTTACTGTACAACAGAGAGGTTTGCGTGGCTGTTTTTTTTTTTTTTTTTTTTATTATTTCTGTGTTGTAATATTTAGTGTGAAATAGGACATTTTAAACAATGAATCAGATCTTTTCCGGTTATGCAGACTTCAGCTCTACGAGTTTTCTAGTAGAGCTTGGCATTTCCTAAATGTTCTGAAGAGCCAATTGCAATCATGTGTGTGTTTGGTGTCAGATTTATTTCACATTACTTTGCTTAACTTTTAGTGGTTTACTTTGGATGAAGTGTCCAAAGGAAAATTGCATTTAAAACTGGAATGGCTCACATTGATGCCAACTGCTGAAAATCTAGACAAGGTATTAAAGGAACACATTACTTTTATCCTGATCTTAATTGTTGTGGGGTGTTTTTTGTTGTGTTGCGGGTGGTTTGTTTGTTTTTTTTTTTAAGTTATTTATGTAAGTTATGTTAAGTATGTTAAGTAATTTAATTAAGCTAAATATGTAAGTATGTAAGTAATTTAGTTCTCTAGCTGTTGTGAATTTGGATAAGCCTGTAACTTTATTCCAAGCTGTTTGTCTTTAGAAATCTCAAACCAGTCATAGCTGTCAATGTACTCTTCTGGCATGGGATTTTAAAATGCTTTTGTCGTCCTCTTCTTTTCTTTTAATGTCGTGGTTTGAGAATACCAGCTAACATTTCATTAGCCTGGGAAATAAAGCTGGATATGATATTATAATCTGTCCAATCTAAAAAAAATAATTCGGAAATGGGGTGCAAATTTCCATGAAAATGGGTTTGAAATATCTATGAGAGTCTCGAAAACTTACTTCCTATGTTTCATAGTGTGCGTTTGTGAATGTTTGCATTTTGGGAGATGTTTTTAAAATATTTTTCAGGAATGGTACAGAAATAATAGTATTATTTGATTTTCAGAAAGGCTTACAGTATGTTTTTGGTTTAGGTGCTAACAAGCATTAGAGCTGATAAAGACCAAGCCAATGATGGGCTTTCTTCTGCATTGCTTATTCTCTATTTGGACTCAGCAAGAAACCTGCCTGTAAGTTATATTCTGATGGATACCCTTTTGTCATGGGTATCTCTTGTGTACTTCCAGCATGTCTTGCTTGGTAGTATGGCACACTGCTTTACTAACGCACATTATGCCATGTTTTCTATACTTGTTTCAAAACGTGTAATGTAAGGTCCACATTTCTAGCAGTATAGTATTACAGATATATATTTAATAAAACATTACTCTTTAATCAGTGTGATTTTTCTTTAAAGAATGCTCCTTTCCTGGACTTGAAAGGCTGCATGTTTTTATTACGTTGTGTTTTCCATAAATAGTATGGGATTGGCATGAGGAATTTTAAGGAACTAACTGGGAAAAGGCCCACTTCCTTGAGTTCAGGTAAACTTGCTTGCTTTGGTTTAGGGTATCTGTGGTAGATTTGAAGGTACTGAAGTCTTCATCATGAAATTAATACTGTGCAGTTGATGTTACAGTGGCAGAATACTTGTATGCGATTTGTCAGGTTGTCATTTGAAGTATTGTTTATTTGCTTGTGCAAAACATAAAAACAAAAAAATTAATGGTTCTCTCATTATATGGATTATACTATGGGACTGTGAAATAGCTTGTTTATGACAAGCACATGCTGGTAGTTTATTTCAGGTTAGTTCCGTTCCTGGTTGAAAATGATAGCAGTAATAAAGTAAACCCTACCATAAATAGATATGTGAAGCATAACACTGAGTTTTGCTGTTTTTCAGCATTGCTGTTAGATGAGAAATTCTGGAAGTGATGACTAAAATACTGATCAGAGAATAAAGTTTTCAAGCCTCAGATTTTTTTGCATGCATTTTGCAAATTTGTCCACTCATCTTAAATTTAAGCTAAAATGCTGCATCAGAGTGGTAACAAATGAAAGCTTAGTAGCCTAAACAATTTACATCACTGCCTAGTGGTTTTACGTCTGTTCCAGGGTGTATAGAGCAGTGATAGAGCACTGTTTGCAAGTAGTATTTATAGGTTATTTTAAAAGCTAAAAAGATGTAGCTCATTTGGAATAGAGCCCTGCATTATCTTTTTAACCTCACTGCATTGAATTCAGGGGAACTCTGTAACTTAACAGAAAAAGAGTAGAATTACTCTACTACAGAGTAAGCGGAAATAGAATAGAATTATGGTGTGCTTAACATCAGTTTCAGAATACTGCAACACACAGAAAAAGTCTGTCTGCCATCTGTTTTGTGCACTAGATTAAATTGAACCCATTTCTGTATTTTCTTGTTTGACTACTGGATTTTACTCAAACTGTTACAAGTTTAATATATCTGTTAAAATGCACTAAAGCCTCTTACTTAAAATGAATAGTTTAAAGTTCTCTTATCCACAATTTCCAATTTGTTTCCATGCAGCTCTGCTTCTGTATATTAGATTAGCTTCTCCAGCAAATACTCAGAGGCTTTGTCATAAGTTTAGTTTTTCCCTTCCTGTTTCAAAAAAACCATTCTGTAACATTGTCTCCCTCCTTCAGAAACATTAGGCTGCAAGTCTTGAGTTCTACCTGCTTTTGGGGACAGTATTTTAATTTCAGTGTCTTAATCAGTACTTCTAATCAGTAGATCTCTAACTGTAGGGCACAGAAAGGGGAAGTTCCTTGCACAAAGCTGACCAGTTAGGAAATTTGGGAACAGGATCCCAAATTTCTTATTGCTGTGTCTGATGTTCTGTCTACAGTACAAGATTGCCTGGGTGGGTTGAGAATAAGGATGGTCATAGTGTGGGACCTGTTTAACTCTTTTTTTTTTTTTTTTTTTCCCCTTGCTCTGCCAGCCCAGAAAAGCAGTTGCTACAAATTACTCAGTATTTAACTTCAAGTCATTTTCTTTCCAGAAATGAGTTATAAAGAATATGATAGAAAGTAACATCGAACACGTGAAAATTCCATTTACAAGTTTGCAACAATAAAATAATACAATACTGTGTTAAATTCAAGTTGTCCAAAACCAGATACAAAAAGACTTCACAGTTAGGTGGGGGGAAAAATATCATGGGAAGACTTCTTCATGCAGGAGAACTGAAAAGATTCCTATAGATTGTGTAAAGATAATGCTTAGATAATGTCATGGAGCTGCTAGACAAACTGCAGTGAATTACAGCGAATACAGCTTTTTTATGTCCATTTGATTCTAATATGGAACAACACTTACAAGACTAAACATGAAAGTCTGCTGGCTCCTCATGTTGTGTTCATATTCATTGATGGGGGTCATGTAGTGTAATAGCAAAATTAATCACACTTTTGGATTGCTTGTGTTTATGGGGAACAAAAAGTTCAAAGAGAATGAAGTGTTAAAATTACACTGAACCTTATTAATAGTTTTGAAGACTTTTGTCCACAGCTTTAATGTTACAGCTGAAATATTTTCTAGATGAATAAGTACTTTTTGTTACCTTCAAAATGGATTTCTTAAGTTAATGCTTATCACTGGTACATTTTAGATCTTGTTATCAGCCTTGTTTTGTTTGAGTTATAGTGGATAATTCCCAGCACAGGCATTTCTTTTGCACAGATGCATCATGGTTGTGGGCTTCTGAGACACTGGGATGATTTATCTGAAATATGTTTCAAGTGAAATAGAAACAGTGTAGAAGGGTGGGCTCTAAATTTACTTAGTTGGATCTGACATATAAATCTGAACTACCAAGAGTAAACTTGGAAAGTGGGTTAATATATTTGAATAATTAATAAAAAATAAATATAAAAAAAAAATTCACCTTGCTGCACTACAGAAAGTAATTTAATAGATGAAACTACTTGTAATGACAAATATTTACTTACTTTTTGTTATCTGCTGTTTTCTCTGGAATCCTTTGACTGTTTTCCTTAACTTTTTTATGTAGTAAAGCTGCTTATGCATTCATTCTGCCACAATCCCATCACTCTGCTTTCTCCTTCCATTTCCATCTTCCTAAGAGTATCTACGAGGGAAACTTTGGGTGTGGATACTTAAAAGAGAGGAGAGCATCGGGACTAGTCTTTTGTGAAAACACTACCTCACTCTATAGAGCACTATTTGTGAGTTCTCTGGTATTATTTGTATTGTACCTTTTATCTGCCAGAGTGTGGATTAGTGCTACTAAAGCCACTCACTCTAGTGGAATGAGAGCATGCAATTTGTTTTGCTGCATGGTTTCAGCAAGTGTGCATTGTTTTTTGTGCTATTTTTATTGCATTTTAAAGGCTACTTAAATTTCATTGATCAGCATATCATTGGGTAAGTAATTAACTTTTTATGATAAAAACCCAAGATAAGTTTGTTGTAAAAGCTCTTACATTTAACTTAAATTGCTGATTCATTGAGAAATAAAATGCATACTATACTAGCACACTGTGTGCTGGTGAATTGTTGGCTTCTATTGCAAAGAAATTAAACTAATTAATATTACAACCAACATCCCTGTAGTTTCTTTAAAAGGTGATGCACTCAATGTTTGTAAGAACGTGCAACCGCTCCACACTGGGTCAAGTATTGCTTTAAAAATGGGTGTGGTTCTTTGTGCTCCCCAAAATATAAATTCCCTTGTAAATTCTATTTCACTCCATGATGCTCCTTGTTTTGCAAATTCCCAAGCTCCTTTTCTTTTTTTCAAATTAGTCTGTAGTCAGGAGAATCCACACTAGGGAGAACCACCAATTAATATTTTTTGCTTGAATTTAATGTTACAAGATCATTACGAACTAACGAGCCTCTGAATATGTTACACTTAAATCTGTAAACACAACGTTGGTATCTTCAAAAAGAATGAGAATCTGTTCAGAATAAGAACTCTTTTGCCAGAGAGAGGTGGGTATGCCATTGTAGATTGTGCAGAAAAATTTGTTGCTGGCTGGCTAATTTTGGCTCTTGTCATACACCTTGATTTAAAAACACCTTCCCCCCACCCCCTCCAAATCCCAACAAAACCCTTTTCTATGGTCCTTTCAGTTAGTTTCTGTGTAGAAGTTAATTTTAAAGTATCAAAAAAGATATATCCATTACCAAATCTTGTTAAAATTTAATGAATAAGAAATGCAGTTCATAAGCTATGGTTCAGTTATCTTGGAATTAAAACTGATAAGTAGTTGCTGTTTCTTTTAGTTATAAAAATACTAGATACATCCTAAAAATAATAATAATTAAAAAAAAAAATCAAAATGCTTGATAAAGAGTGTAGCCCTGATGTTTTTGTTGATCTTAGGGTCTTTGCATTAGGACATGTTGTCTACATATAACAGCATCTATTCAGACATTGGACAAAACTTTCCAAATCCCCAAAGCGATTTGTGAGTTAGTATGGAACAGCAACCATTTTAAGATAGCCAGGACTGGATTTCCTTCAACAGGAGTGTTAACTGCCTTGTTCTGCAGTTGCATGGGTGCTAGTCTTGCAGCAAGCAAGAGGATGAGATTTATGGCTGGAGGCCAGGATAGAGGAGAGGAGAGGACTGTAGTAGCCCAGAGATAACAACAGGCTTCAGCAGTCATAAAACTGCATCTTGTTTTCAGGGCATCTTTAAATACGAGGTATTATGCAAACATTCACACCTGTAAGTTCAGATATCTAACTGACATGTAACATGAGTTATGGGGGGGGGTGTGTGTGTGTGTTAAAAAGGGGGCTCACTTTATGTAGGGAGAGGAAAATCCAATGCCCTGAGTGCTCTTTGTTCCTTTCTAGACAGTTTTACTGACTAGGTTAATCTATTAACCTAGATTCATGACACCTAATTCAGACATGTACCCATCTAAATCTGATTTATCTGAAGTTAAGGAGTATGAATAGTGTTCTTAGTATAATTTCCGAAAGTGAGTAACACTAGTTTTAGGATACGTTATCATTAGTTCACAACAATTTTTCTTTCAACTTGGTGTTTATATAACATATAAATTATCCATATTTTAAATCAGCTCTTACAGATCAGTGACTGTCTTCTGGTTATCAATTGAGGATGCACTCACAGATTTAGACACTTCTAAAGCCCCATTTTAACCACAAGCAAGACTTAGTGAGTCAACAGAAGTAATGAGTTGTACTCCAAAGCATATTGAATTAGGATCTGGCTTAAAAACAAAACAGCTTGTTAGTTGCAGTGTAATTTATGGGTTTGTTATTAGGATTTACTGCAAATATCACTGGCTGTTACAGAATGCTAGCCTGAAATCTGATTTATTTCACTGTGTCAGTTATCAGTATAGTTCTTGGATACCTGTCCCCTTTTCCTATAACTGCAGAGACACTCAGAACCATAGCAAGACAATTTTGTCACCCAAGGCAAGACCTTTTCTTGGCTTTTTATATTGAATACTCCCTTTTCTTCTCCTAGTCTCCTCCCGCCCAGCCTTTCAGCCACCATCCTCATGGACCTGCAGCTCCTTCCCTTGAAACCTGAAGTCTGGCTTAAACATATTTGCCCCAGCTGATGTCCCTCTTGGCCTATCCTTGCTATGATTCCAGAGGAATTGAGACATGTTCAATATCCAGGAATCATTGGTTGCCTGCCTTTATAATTGATCACATAGGTTTGTTTTTGACTTTTAAAATTCTTTGAAATAATATTATAGGGGGAAAAAAAGATGTGTACTGAATATGCAGGTGCAAATGTGAAGGACAGAGGGCCAGTAAGTTGAGGGGCAGTTTAGGATTCAAAATGATCTTGATGAATTGCAGATATGATCTGGAAAAATAAGGTACTTTTCCATAGAGGACGGTCATTGCACACATATAAATATGGGATGGAAATAGTTGTCTGATGGATAGCTCTACAGAAACAGATCTGTAGTCGTGCTGTATCATGCTGTTATGAAAGACAAACACCATGCTGTATATAGCAAGAGGAGTGTAGCCTGTAAGATGTATGGACTAATCCTTCTGTTCTACTTAGCCATTACTAAGGCCCTGATTTTGGCCGCAGCAAAGTAAGATCTGGAGGACACCAGTTATGATAATGAGAAAGCCAGTAAACGTGACTAGCAGAGGAAGAGTAACTGGGATGAATTTAGCCTTAGGAAATAAAGATGGGGATGGAAATGATACAAGGCTGCTGCAAACAAAGTGCCTTTGTCATGTTTGTCAGAAAACAAGAAACAGTGCTTAAACTCCAGCAAGGAACATACCTGTTGGGCATTAAAAAAATTTCTGATGAAAAGGATGGTTAAACATTAGGATTGATATGTCTAGGAATATTGTGCAGTGTCTATCTTTGAAGGTCTTTAAGTACAATAGTAAGTCCCTAACGTATCAGATAAATAGCTGTGGAAGATTCCATAATTTTATTTTAAGAAAAATAATGATTAAAAAAATGCCACAAACCAGCCAAACCTTATTTCTGTTTTTCTCCAGTTTCATCATATTGTATATTCATTCTGAAATAGAAATTTTAAAGCTGAATGCCAGGAATCTCGTCATACGTATTGGCCAACTTCAGGATGTGACATTCCAAAAGAAAATGTAAAAAAGTATTTCTGCACAAAGGTTAAATCTCTCTTCAAATTTTGGTCACTTCTGGATTTGAATTTCAGGAAGGCATTTCTTTTGGCAGAGTGTTAATAATATTGGTTCCTGTTCATAAATCAGCATGATTAAAAAGGCCATTATGCAATTTTTTTTTGTTGCCACACACTATAGCTTTTAAAGCAGAATTCTCCCTTGAAACAAAAATTTGTGCTTAAAGAAAAAGCCAGCCATAAGTATACTAACTTGAAGTCTCTTTCATTTCAAAATTGTATTTCCTGAAATTATTTCTTATGAGTTGAATGCAAATTTTCTGTAACATTTTTGTACTTTACATGTGTCACTTCAAGAACAACATATTATTCTTAAAAAAAATTTAAAAATTTGCTTAATTAATGGAAAGTAGCAAGAGGTTTTGTCCTGCTAAATCAGTTCAAATTCCTATTGTTAGTGTATTTGCATGTCTTCATTCAACTGAGTAAAGTAGTAGGCCTTCATTCTAGTTGACATGCAGTGTTTGTATCATTCATCTGCTGAAGAGGCTCAAATGACTTAGATTTTTGTAATGATCTAAGTCCTATCAATATTTAGCATAGTAATTTCTCCCGTAAAAGGACTCCTTCACATAATTACTTGATATATCATCAGAGAAGCTTCTATGTTGTGAAAATATACTTAACCAAACTTAAAAAAGGTTCTTTCAGAAGGCAGTCCATAGGACATCAGGCATTCAATAAAACCTATTTTGTGAAGTTTCTTCATTATGGTAAAAAAAAACTGGTGAGGCAAATATAAGTAGACTGAAAGTGAGTGTATTAGTTTTAAAGCAGAATACAAACATTCAGAGAGGACAAGAGGGGGGAAAAAAGTTTTGTCAGACTTTTGTTGTTGTCGTGGTGGTAGTTCCTTCCTTGTTTTGTTTGAAAGATTTTTTGGGTTTTTTTAGGTTGTTTTTTTCCCCGCTTTGCCCTGTGTTGTCATGTCATAATTAATTAACCTAGTGAAATTGCTTCATTGCATGACTTATTAACCCTTCCTATGTTCATTCTCTCCTCACTTAAAAGCATAATCCATTAGAATTTAACCCTGATGGCTTGAAGAAGGCTGCTGTTCAGAAAGCCCTAAAGGTAAAATTAATATAGTTGTCCATTTAAGGTCACAAAAGTAATTGGAAATGCACAAATGCCTGCAACACTTCTCTTCCAACAGTGGATGGAATTTCTGTTGCCAGATATATATTTAGTGCAATTCCGTTTTACTTAAATTTAGTTTCAAGAAGCAGTAAAGACATTGGTGAAATACTTTGGTCTGTGGTAATTTGAATTTTAGATCAGTTGAGTGGAGTATAGACTGCTTTAGAAGACTGGGGGAAAAAATAGTCCTGAGAACTAATTTGAAGTAGTAACTAAAGAACAAAGCTGACATGAAAGCTAAAACATCTTTGACATACTGAGTGATACTTCATTGGTCAACTCTGAATGACTAACCAATAAAATCAGTCTCTGACATGTTTTGAAATAATCTTGTTCCTGCTAGATGTTTTTAGAAGGCTTTACAACTTTTATATAAATGCTAAACAAATTTAGCCCAGCTTTTTGATATGGAAGACATAGAGTTGAGAGGCAAACTTGGAAGGCATAAGCCAAGTTCTCAGCTGGAGGAACTTGGACAAGAGGCAGTTTCTAATAGACTGTCAACAGCAAATCTGTCAGTGGCAGGTGTTAGAGGTGCGTTATATGTGTGTGTACATATTGCTACCTATTTAGCATGAATTAAAAATATTTATATTTACATATCAGCATAAGCAACAGGGTCTTTTTGTCAACTTCTGTAGTTTTATCATTTTATAAAGAAAAGGGAGTTTCAGGCACCTTTTTGTGGACAAAGAAAAAATGAAAAAAATTTCACCTACCATTTTTAAACACCATCAGTTGGAGCATAATCTGACTTTCTTTCTGTTCCTTAAACCTGTGTATTCTGTTGTCTTTGAGAGCTAAATATTTTCCATTAGAAATCATGAAAAAAAGAAATGCGGCATTCATCCAAGAAAGGAGTGCTTTCTTAACAACTTTTTTTCTAAAGGAAAATATGGTTATAAGCAGTGTGTCACATTAAAGTCAAGTAATATTAGTGGAAGTATGATGTCCAAAATGTAAGTTCAGATCCAAAAATACCTAAAACATGCATATTCTTAATTTAAGAATATAAAATATTTTAATCACTTGGTTGTAATTGTGACCTTACATGCATTAAGTAGATTTTAACTAAGTTTATGTTTACATACCTGATCTGTACAATTTCCTACATGGTAGAATTCAAAGTATATTATTAACCATGTATACTATATTTTCTAGGCCTTTTAAACTGCATTAACATCTGCTTGAGATGATTAACTTTCATGTCTAACTTTTCTTTCTGACTTAAATTTTTGTTAGGTTAATTTATTGTGAAAGAAACATGTAGTTGGGAATGTTCCTTTGTGTATATAATTTGTTTCTAAACTGATGTTTATTTTCAGTTTGTTGTAATGCTATACACCTGGTGAGCAAGGCTCAGATATGGCAGATGGTTGATTCTCTAATAAAGAGTATTTGGTAAACTGTAGAAATATACATCAGGTACATTATAGTGCATCTTCTTTCTCCCCAGACTGAAAAGGGGGGAATATCAATGTTCTGATATTACATCCAATTTAATAATACTACTGTAATGTAAATAAAGTAAGCTTCCTGAGTTTGTGCCTTCTCCATATCTCCCATCTGCATGCAATATTCATTTTGCGGTTTTAACTATGCTTCATTAGCTTTGGGGGTTGTAATGCTCATTAAAAGATAAGAATTTGTACCGTACCAATTTCATTTGAAGAAAACGGAAAGGAGACTAAAACTCCTCATTTGTAGCATTTTGCTTCAGCATATTTAGGGTAGTTGGATGCCTTCATGTTAATGTGTTCACGAGTTGCGAGCCAGTCTGCCATTGAAGCCTGTTGAATAAAATACTGAGAATAATAGATAAGCATATAGTAGAATGCATATGAGTTGTTTTTTTAAGATGCAAACATAAAAGTTTCAGAGGAGAGAGGTTTTGCTTTGTACTGAAGGCAAAGTTTTTGCTTTTTCTTTACCAGTCAGGAAAGAAAATAAACAGCAATCCCAATCCACTTGTTTTGCTGTCAGTTGGACACAAGGCACAGGAAAGTAAGGTAAGTTCCTACTCTTCATACTTGGCTCTGTCTACAAACATTTGGTGGCTCTGTGTGCTTGGCATTGGCTATTGAGCCATTGAGTGTATCCACTGCCTTAAAAGTTACCACCAGAACTGAAATTCCAACAAGAAGCCAAGGACTGAATGGGAGCTTACTCAATTTAAACTGTTTGTGAGTAGAGACCAGATTTTTAGCTATTTGTAGATGTCCTTCCACAGTAGATTCTGATCTGCAACTGGGATTCCTACAGTAGTGATTATATAAATAACAGTGTGGGTAAAGAGCAGGCTTCAAAATACTGATCAAGATTTGAAAATTTACAGAATCACAGAGTTATGGAAATGCCCAGGTCGAAAGGGACCATCTGCTTAAACCTTCTGTTTAAAGTAGGGCCCTAGATTAGCCAAAGCACTGTGTAGTTCTCAGGAGCTCGTAGTTTAGCCAGGCTACTTTGTTTTTATGTCTGCTGCTTTTTCTGCTTTGAGGTATGGACCACTTCTGTGGTTTCAGAAGGCTGTCCTCTAGCACTCCTGAGCTCCTCTGCCCTCCAAGGTAGACACTCATGGAATCCCTTCTAACAGTTCCTAGAGCAAGTTGAAATCTGCTTTTCTGAAGTCCAAGGCTTTTATTCTGTTATTTGTTTTCCTCATGCCCCTTAGGATCTTAAGCTCTGTGATCTTACAGTCACTGTAGCCAAGGCTGCTGTTGATAGTCACACCTGCAAACCAATATTCCTCATTTGTAAGTAGTAGATTCAGAAGAACACCACTCCTAGTCATCACATCCAATGATTGAGAACAACTGTAACGCAACAGTGTGTGTTTTTCTAGCACAAACTCTTAAACTGCTTGTGCACCACTGTGCTACTTTCCTAGAAAACATTAGAGTAGTTGAAGCTCTCAGAACCTGGTTCTGCAGACCTGAGACAGCTTTGAGTCATCTGAAGAAGGCGTCATCCATCTCTTTTTCTTAATCGGGTGGTCTGTAACAGATGCCTGTCATGAGGTCGATCTTGATGGTGATCCGTCTGATTTTGACCCAAGGCATTCAATGTACCTGGCATCTTGCCCATAACTAACATCTGTGCATTCAAACAGCTCTTTAAAATAAAATAGCAACAGTGAAGTGATACCTAGATAGGTAGATATATGTAATATGGGTGTGTTGTGGTTTTGTTTTGGTTTTGGTTTTTTTAAAGTAAAAGTGTCAGTGAGCCAAAAGGAGAGGACATGTAATTTGGCTTCTTCATATCCTGTCCAAAATTGTCACAAAGCCTAAATCAGATCTTATATACAGTCTTAATTTTGATACCTATTAGAGAATGGAGATAGAAATTCAAGTCCTTTGTTCCTGGAGATAGCTTATTTTGTAAGCGCTTTTTTCTCCCCCCGCCCCCATTAATGGCTTGCTGAAAGTAGTGAGATATGGCAGTGAAATCTTCCACATGGCTACTTGGTGATTAGAAGGAAAAATATTAGTTTCTAGGAGTTTCATTGAGCTGGTTCAACCCTTATAGAGAAGTATGAGAAGAGAGAGAATGTGCCAGTCTGAAGATCCTGCATTTGTTCATAGACTGGTGTGAAGTAAAGGGTCTTTAGCAGGAGTTTTACTTTACATACAGCAACTTTAATGCAAAACATATTCTACTACATGTCCTGTGTATAATTTTATATGTTATATTATATATGCCTTGGGTAGATCCCACTTGGCCTTTGTTTAAATATGTCAGGTTTCAGACATTAATTTTCCAAAGCCAAAATGAAAAATGTACTCAACTCTTGACACCGGCTTCATTAGATGGAAATGTTTTATAATTTGTATGCTTCCTGTGCTCTAACTTCAGATTCGATACAAGACCAATGAACCAGTATGGGAGGAAAACTTTACTTTCTTTGTACACAATCCCAAAAGACAAGATCTTGAAGTTGAGGTATGTTGTCTCACTCTCTTTAGATACCTTTCTTTTCTAAGACATTTCAGTAGAAACATTCAGACATTACAGGTTGTTATGAAATGAGACTGAATATATTGTGAACACCATTAAAATTATACTTAAGGTGGTTTTTAAGACCAGGCTATGAAATGTTTATTTGCATTTACTACTAAAAGGAAGAAAGATTATAACCAATCTCTCACCAGAAGAATATAGTTGATGGTTGTCTTACTTAAGAAAAAAAAAAAAGGGAAAAAAACCATTTTTGATACCTGTTTCATTGAATCATTAAGGTTGGAAAAGACCTAAGATCATCGAGTCCAACCGTCAACCGTCCAACCGTTTCGAACCTTAACAGTCTTAGCTGCTAGCAGAAATTGCTGTTATGTATGGCTGATATGTTTCCTCTCTCATCCCAAGGACGTTTTTGCTTTATCTAAATACTGTATCCCTTTACACTGCTGATATGTCATTTACATAGTTCAAAGAGACTAAAGTGTAAATGAGTACTGTCCTAGTTACTATTCCTCTAACAGTTGTGGGAGTTCATTTTCACACAGACTGTTTGGAAACCATGTAGTTATTTTGATGAAGGGTCACGTAGATGTGATGGTTAGTTTTCTGTCTTGCTTTTGCTGGAGAAGATAGGGATGAAGAAACTAGTCATTGAGTATATTTGCTATTTCCTTCTGCAGTGTAAAGTAATCTTATGATCAGGGAAATTTGGTTTAAGAACAAACTACATTCAATATTGTTTGGTTTTTTTGTTTTTAAATAAAACTATTTCTTTTTCTTTCTCTCAATTCTAACAAAGCAGATGATACAAAATTACTTAGCTTCTGTGTTCCTTCAGGTGAGGGATGAACAGCACCAGTGTTCTTTGGGGAACTTCAAACTGCCTTTAAGCCAGTTGCTGGAGAGTGAAGATTTAACTATGCATCAGCGGTTCCACCTGAGCAACTCCGGTCCGAACAGCACTATAAACATGAAGATTGCACTCAGGGTACTCTAAAACTTTTCCCATTGTAAATGTCTGAAAGCATACTTAAGACTATCATGACTTCTGGTCTTCTAGCTTTATGAAGAAGATAGTACATTTCCTTGGGTGTCACAATGCCAGGTGTCCTTAGTTGTGGCAGTGCTATCAAGTACACAAAGATAACCTCTAATTTAAATACATTCTATTTCAAAAACAGAAAATTCTCCGAACAAAACAGTAATCGGCTGCATTAATTAAGACTGAGATTCCCTGTGGTTTTAGGTTCGGAAATCATGTTTGCAATTTAAATTCCTTCAAGTCTCTTATCATTCAGTAGGCTACAGATCAGTGAAATCACCCTTATCTTATAGAAATGGAACTGAGGTCATGATGGTTTAAAAAGAATAATGTTTATAGGGAAAGGAATTATATTCATAGTACTGGAAAAATTCAGACCAGCTTTCAAGCACATTGGAGTTTTGAAGACAAAACTTGCATACCTGAGATCTGGTTTGTCTTTTTCCCCAGCTAAATTAGTTGGTTTAATAGAGTAGTGTATCTCTTTGCAAACACTGTCAGACTTCTGTTAACTTCTGTTATTTGTTCTTTTCTAAAGCACTTTCTTGCTTACTTGTCATTAATAAATGAAAATAACCTATAAAAGAGAAAGTAAGGCAATAAGTGAGAAGAACTTGTGATGTAGGATTAAATTTCAAAAGATTAGAAGAAAAAAATTATAGAATAGCTTTCCAGGTGGCTAGAGCTGCAAAGTAAATAGCACTTGCACCAGAAGCGCGTAGAGTATGGGAAGGGAATAATGAGGAGAATAAATCTAAATGAATGGAGAATTTCACATTGTTTTATAGTTACTGCATTTGCCACAAAGAAGATGAGGCTGTGTTTTGCTGTGCAAAAGGTTTCCTATTGTAGACTGAATGAGTATAAGTGTGAATATTTTTGGTCCTGCATTAGTGTCTGAACTTAACAACTTGTCACCAACCAGTACTCTTGTAGAAACAAATTTGTTCCTGTTTTTTATACTGGAAAACAGTCATATTATATGTATTTTTACTGTATCTAGGTCCTTTCTCTTGAAAAGCAAGCAAGATCTCCAGATCATCAACACTCGGCCCAAGTAAAAAGGCCATCTCTTTCCAAAGATGCAAGAAAATCATCTTTTAAGCCTCACGTTCCTCTCTCACCACCACCTGATTCAAACAAACCTGTTCCAGCTTCCCCAGCGACTGATAGTGATAAAAAGACTGATACAGCTGAAAAAAGTCAGCCTCCCAATGCCAGCCCTCAGTGGCCAACAGATCTCAGCCGAAGTTCCTCCAGTCTTCATGCCTCTAACTTCTCTTACTCTCCCAGCCACCTCTCGGTCAAAGAACCCACTCCTAGCATAGCCTCAGACATATCGCTGCCTATCGCCACACAGGAGCTACGGCAAAGACTACGACAGCTTGAAAAGTATGGTGTTAATTACTTGGTTTTGCAGTATATCTAAGTTGATTTATAAAAAAATGTCATCAGTGCAGCCAAAGAAAGAGTGCTTAGTTTGCATTTCAGTAATATTTTTTCCTCTTGCAGTTTGAGCCTGGCATTTGAAAATCAAGTCATTGTGATTTTCTGCTTCCTCCCAGTACCTCAGTTAGACAGATTCTGCAATTAGAAGTTACCTTACCATTGCGATGATCTGCAACGTAAAGTCCACCTTGTTCTCATAGCTACACTGTGTAGTGCTAAAAAGAGTGGGATGGCAAGAGGGAAGGATATTTTTCAATACAACATTAATCACTTTCATGGCAATAGTTGCCTGTTTCACCACTGAATCCTATTAGCATTAATATTAAGCCAATTAAGCTGAATATAGCTGGTCTTTTAAAATTACTCAGTTTATAATAAAGAATGTTAAATGAATAGTCAGTTACTATTCAATTAATGAGGATTGCTGGAGCCATGCTTTCTTAAATTCTCTAATTTTTTTTTACTTGCCTCAATGGGCAGCTATACTTACCAGTACAGATAGCTGAGCAGCCTATTCTGCTCTGAATAGGAGAATGGAAACCATTAATTCCCTATTCATGTAGCTTCTCTGTGAATCTAAGTAGGAAGGTTTTAATTTTTTATTTGTAAGGGATTGAACCAATTCATCTTTTTCTCTATCAGAGGTCATAGAATCAACAGAGTAATATAGGTTGGAAGAAACCGCTGGAGTTCAGTCAGCCCTCTGCTCAAAGCAAATCCCGCTTCAAAGTTAGGTCAGGTTTCCTGGGCCTTGTCCAAACAAGTTTTGAATAGCTCCAAGGATGGAGATTCTATAAACTTTCTCAGCAGTTCCGGTGTTTAATCACTCCACTGTGAAAATGTTTTTTCCTTATTTCCAGTTGGAATTTATCTTGCTGCAACTTGACTGCGGCCTCTTGTTCTTTTACTGTGCACATCCACGAGGAGTCTGACTCAGTCTTCTCTATAATGTCTGTTTTAAGTAACAAAAGACTGCAGTTGAATCTGCTATTGGCCTTCTCTTCCATTTATACAAACCCATTTCCTTCACCATCTGCTTATGTGCTCCAGACCCCCATTTATCTTTATGGTCCTCTGCTGTCTTGTCTTCAGTTTATCAGTCTCTCTTCTGGCCCAAAACTGGGTTAGACTTCGTTAATTATGGTAAATGTTGAAATACTACTCCTTATTTAATACACAAATTTCATACTTTCTCATTTGATAAGAGTGGTAAAGCTATGGCTAAGGAGGTCCTTTATTGCAGGCCCCATGTTCTTCAGTGCTCTGATTTTTGTTTTTTTTTTTATTTTAACTCAGAAAATACTGAATTGAAATGCTTCATTCTAGTTTTTAAAGTGAATGACTTGGGAATTTTAATGGAACATTCTGCAATCGCTTTGTAGTAGCTATTCACAAAAGAGGCACGCCTCTCCCTTAAGGTTAAGATACCCTTCAGGTGGTTGAGAAATGCCAAGCATGCCATATACTGTCCTGTGTGAAACGGAAAATACTCATAGTCAGTTTACACAAACTAAAATAGGCATTTTATAGACATGAGGGAACTCATGCAAATATTGGCCATTCTTTAAAACAGAAATTCTTAATCATGGTGCTTGCTTTTTATTTAAGCATGACCTGTATTTGTAAGTGTAAATTGATTCTAATACTATTTTCAATGTGGCATGAGCTACAGAAAAGTAAAATGGCTGTGTTTATACTGTGATTTGAGCTTTTAAGGCAGTAAGTGTGTTTAAAGTATCACTATTTTAAGCCAAGAATATTTATATTTCTACATTAGAGAATTTAGAAAAGAATGAGCTGGTCTTCTTATTGGTTCCTGGCCATAGGTAAGAGTGGCCCATCACTGAGGTTTTCATTGCAGTTTGCACCATTAAGCTTTCCAATTTCCTAGATACTGTTTTCATGTTTGTTTTAGGGTAAGCATGTTCTTTACTGATCATGGTTTTCAAAGTACTGAAGAGCAGCTGATCTCTAAACTGACAAGAATACCTAGATTATTTTGGAGAGTAGAGCTGTTGGAAAAGGAACTGAAGTACAAGAAACTGATGAAGATATGCTCACATGCTAACGTGTGCTCTCTTCTTTCACATTGGTCTAGTGAAAAGTTAAATGGATAATACGTGATTTCTGGGAAAACTACTCAGCATATATTTCAGTTAGGTCTTACTTTAAATATGTGTTTTAAAAACTAAGCATAGTGTTCTACTTTTTCCTGCAGTGGAACAACTCTGGGGCAGTCTCCATTAGGACAGATTCAGCTAACAATTCGTCATAGTTCACAAAGAAACAAACTGATTGTGGTAGTGCATTCCTGCAGGTGAGCATAAAATACCAAATTTCATTTCTGCACATATTTCTTTGTAAACTTTGTCATATCTTGACTTAGCCTCTTAATTTGGTTGTCTGGATGATCTTTGTTATTTTTAAAATAACATACTGATTGTAATTATGTGTAAATAAAAAACTATACAGAGCTATACTCAGAATCAGTAAAAAATTTGTTGAAGATTTTGCTGCGATTTTGTATTTGTCTTTTATGCCCCTGTCAGATTTTAAATGAAAACGGCATGTAGATTTTTATCAGCAGTGTCTGAAAGCTGTCTCTAAGAGACCGAATTTTTCATGGAATGACAAAACCGCATGATTTTTGGAAAGCCATATCTAAACTTTGAATTGGGATTTAAGAAACATCGTATTCCCACCTCTGCTGTCTGCTCAACATTTATCTGATCTTGTACAAGTCACTGCTTGGCATTTTTTTAGTTTTTCTTACCACTGCTATTAGCTATGTGCTGTATCCTGCACATCATACTTTGTACAGGATATCCCACAACTGATTCGTGTACTAAATTAAGTGATAGTAATGTAGACACTTATATTCAGCAATGTCTCGTTTATTTTCTAAGTGTTTTTCCTTGTTTTTCACTGGTCACAGAAATCTAATAGCGTTTTCAGAAGAAGGATCCGATCCATATGTGCGAATGTATTTATTGCCTGATAAGAGACGATCAGGAAGAAGAAAAACGCATGTATCAAAGAAGACATTAAACCCAGTGTTTGATCAAATGTATGTTCTAAACTACATGTAGTAGTTTTATATCATGTAATTACAAAGCTGTCAAATGAAGGTTTCTCAGCTTACCCGAATGGATGAGCTGTTGAAACTCCTAGTTGTCACCACCAGACTTGGTCATACCTTTCTCTTGTGCTGTAATAGCTATTCCCATCCTTCTATTCCCTGTTATCACTATAGCCCTTCTTACTCTGTTACCAGCCACATCTCTCTTATTTTCTGCCTTATCCTATGTCAGTTACATCTCCTTTGTGCTGGTAGCTAAGAAGCAGTGTGCACTCTTCTGGCAGGTGGCCAGAACATGAGTGCCTTTTAGCTGGCCGATGCTGTTGGTATCCCTTCCTGCCAGGAAGCATGTCGATTCTGACTGGCCGATTGCCTGGCTGATAGATGCTGCCTCCTCGGTAGGACTAGCCAGCCAATGTCTACGCGTGATCAGCTTGCTCAGTCAGTCTACTTGGTGGCACTTCTCAGCATCCAGGGAGTCGGGAAGTTTCCTCGTAGGTTATATCCTGGCCCATAGGTTGGAAGCTGTGCAAGCTTGTGCAACATTACATTGCATAAAAATCCTTATCTTTGCACTGTTTTTTGATGGTAGTTTCCCTTACGCATGTATCCCTTCTTTCCCCACCCATCGCTTATCAATAAAGAAGACCTTTCTCCACAGACAGAAACTTAATTTGGGGAAAATAACACCTCAGTCCATTCTGTCCAAGGGAAATCTGTAAATCATTAGTTAGAGGCTCTGGTAGGTTTTCCTGGTACTGCAGCTCTGTCCTGTTTATTCCAGGTAATAGATTTGTTTTACTGTGCCTTTCCAAGTAAAACGTATTGCAAAGCAATAAAGCTGTTTAAGAACTGTAGTGACAAATAGATGTAGATTGTGGTATAATCTTGCCCTCATTTTCTGTAAGATTCAGATCTAGCAAACAAAATGTGTTCTTCCTTAAAAGTTGATAGGTTGCCTTGGTGTGCCAGGAAAGAAAAGGAGCTCTGATTCTAGAGAACTGAGGATCAGTAAGACTGACCAGTCTTTCCCTTTTGGAGAATAGTGATACTGAGCTGTCAAGGTAGTAGGATTCCTCATTCTCTTCTCTGTAGAGTCAGCGGTTGACCCTTTCCTTGTTTTGTTTGGTTTGGTTTTTGTTTGTTTTGTTTTGTTCTACCAGTGGCTTCTAGAGACCAAAAGTAACAGAAGTCTCAAACATTTGATGTTTATATTGATCATAGTATTGAAGAAAAATTTTAGGGAAAACCTTGGGATTTTTCTCTTCATTTATCTCAGACCTCATTTTCTGTTTGGGGAGGGGGGTGGTTTGGTTATGATTTGAATTGTTGTTTAGCTGTAGGAACTGAACTTGCACTTCAGGTACAAAATTCTCTCTAAAACATCACTTTGCTTGTCAGATTTGATTTCAGTGTTTCCCTGCCTGAAGTACAGAGAAGAACACTAGATGTAGCAGTGAAGAACAGTGGTGGTTTCTTATCCAAAGATAAAGGCCTGCTTGGCAAAGTAAGTTGACAACAAGCAAATTCTGTTAATACAGCTTGTTATTATATAAGACTAAAATCCTCTTGTGATATGAGCTTGTTAGTGTTGACTGAAGCACCTGATTCAGGTATGAAGCTTTTAAAAAATTATAGATGGCTTAGATGACAAGCTTCAGTAAGGGAGGGAACAAGCTGCAGAGACAGACATCAAAAGATGAGGCAGTAATCTCTCTAGAGAATGGTAAGTTCTGAGGCTCACAGTAACAAAAGAAACGTGCATGTCAGACTTATTAATCATACAGTCAGAGAAAGAAAATAACTAGTAGAAAACAGGTGATATCTCAGAAAATGTTCAGACAAAACTAGAAGGACAAGCAAGAGTACTTAGAGAAGCACACAGAACAAATGTATGTTTAGTAATTAAAATTCCAGATCGTAAAATCCATGAGAAAGAACTGCTACTGGAGACGTTCCCAATGCCAAAACCGCTATTGTGTTTACAACTTCACTGTTTTACAGGCACTCATTAAATCACTCTATTTCCTACACATGTGATTTGGAGCATGCAAAAAGGAATAGTAAATTCCTACACCCTTGCAAATTGCCATGTTCGAGCTCTGTAAAGAGGATGAAAGATACCAGAATCGTGGTCAGTTCATGGTGAACGGTGTTCTTAATTTTCCTGTTTACCAGGAAGGCTGTTAGCATAAACACATCAGCTGATTGCCATTGCCAAGATATGCCATGTTCAGAATTTAAGCCTGTGAGGTGCTCTGGGACCATATCACTAAAGGGTATAGAATTTTAGGTCAAAAACAGCAACTTGAAACTTTACTACAAGTCGGGCAGATAGCAGATAGCTATGATGACAAGGATGTAAAATATATTGTTTATTAATGGTATTACTTATACTGTAGTTTACAGGATTGTCAGATTTGATCTTTAAGACATAGAATGAAAGGCACACATAATGCATTGATTGCTAATTTACCTGTTCACAGTTATTAATACCTCTGGCATCTGAAGAACTTGCTAAAGGCTGGACCCAGTGGTAAGTATAATATTTCCTTTATTAATAATAATACTACATACTAGTAACTGGTGTGTTAAGAATAGTTTTAATAATACATGCTAAATGTAAAAAAAAAAAAATCCTTTGTTTTTTTCATTTTCAGGTATGATTTAACAGAAGACGGTACAAGGCCACATGGTGCAAGTTAGGCCCATGGATACTGGGAATTCCCCATGCATACTTTTGCTGACCTTTATATATTTTTAAAGCGTTGTTCTCACAGATCTACCAATATTATTTTTATAGCTTTACTGATTTAGTTCTTAGACACATCCCAAATAATTTTATAACACTTGGTCATTTTATGTAGACATAGCCTTTCTCATTGTTAAACTTTGTATTTTAATTTGCTAAACAATTTTATGTATTACTGTAATGTGCAATAGTACAGTAAAGTAACCTTTTGTGTTTAAATTGATCTTTATGACGGCTGTACCTGTTAGAAAGTGAAAAGATTATGTTCTGCTGTTTTCCTGCCTTGTTTTATATCTCACCAAGGTATACCGTACCATGTAAATATATACTATTTTTTTATAATTCTTTCATGCTGGTTTGAATTCAGAAGAAAATTAGATAAAGGATATAGATATTTTCTTCTAAATGCATGTTAATTTCTTCAGATGAATCTCTTTTGTCTTTGCAGCACAATGGTCTTAATCATTTTGTGATATTCTTCAAAAACAAATGCAGAAAAACATTTTTACTTTATTGTGTTTCTGGCCCAGTGTGGCTAGCTTAAATGTACAAAACATTAACATTTTAATATTTATATATAAATGTATTATTGGAAAATCATGCTATAGAATATTATAAACAAAAATGAAAATTCTATAAATATTGTATAAATAGAGGTCCATGAATCACAGTTTCTAAATCTGAGTTTTCATTTAATGGAGTAAACATGACAAACAGTACAGTTTCATTATACAGGTTCACTTAGATTTTGTTATTTATTCCTGTACTCTACAGTACTAGACATGGGACCTTTTGAAGTTATGAGGACATGGATTTTTCTGTATTATAAACAAAAAATCTCTAACCACTTAGAACTGTCCTTACTGCCTTGTTTCACTGATTTAAAAGGTATACAAATCAGCTTGTGATGTAAGTTCATATAGTAGGCATACGTACAAGACGTTATTTTTATTATACAATACTGTGCTAAATAGTATATTATGCTATACCTTCTGTAATACTAAAATGGAAAACCAATAGGTAAGAAAGTGTGAAACTGAGTTGAAACTGACTGTCTTTACAGTTGCTTCATTGCTACTTAGTGTGTTTGGTGCATGAAAAAAATGCACTTCCGTGGTCCACCCAGGTTTCTTGAGAAATAATGGCATTCTACTGAGGCATTGCCATAGTCTGCTGCAAGACTACAGCAGTGATACAATTAGCACAAACTGATAAAAGCAGACAGTTGAGAGTTGGAGGGAGAGTATCAGCCTAAAGAGCTGAGCTCATAACTCTAATTTTATGAATTACGGGGAATTTTTTTAGTATTCAGAACTGATTTTTCTTTTTCTGGTAGGTTTTCTCAGACTGTTATAAAAATGTGCATTAAGAATCCAAGAGAACCGTTCAGCTCTTTCAGAGCCAACGCCCTCATTCTTGGATAAGTATGCAATTAGACAGACAAAGTATATTATTTAGCTAGGATTCTAGAAAGATCTCTCAGCAAAGAATTTTAAAGAATATTTAAAAAAATAATAAACGCCTGAAATTAGCTTTATTGTAAGATTACTGACAAAACCTTAATTCTAGATGTAGAATATGCCTACATTACTAGATGTACCAAAGTGCCTACCATAGATGTAGCTTTTTGTCTTTTTCAAGTTTAAGAATTGACTCATTTCAGTTTGTCTAAATTCAGTTTAACATGAACATTTGTCACGGATGTGTGTGACGCACACATACACTTCTATACAGTGACAGCCTTCTTATTGCCACATTTTATACAAGACAATTTTAGCAAACAAACTTACATTGTAAATTTTGCTGCTGTAACTTTCTGATGGGCTGGGCAATAGAGAGAGGTTCTTAGTAAGAAAACATTTCCATTTGAAGGCTTCACTCTATATTGGAATGTATGAGTATCTATATATATATACACACACACTCATCTGTTCATATAAAATGTAATATATTATGAAATACATATTTTCTTCACTAGTTCTCCATTAAAATGTTAAGAATGGAAAGAGAGAATTACTGTTAGTGCCATGAAAATGCAGAAAGCGAAAGCTGATCTAAATAAAGGAGGTTTAAGTGCAGCAGTTCAGCATAATTCTCTTTTGCCTTGGTTCAGCCCGAGGCAGAAGGACTTCTGCTGTACATCTTGGCCAGTGACTCCCCAGAGTTTGATCCTTAGCCAACAAATGGGCTGTTAGACTGATTCGGTGTTTCAAGTCTTAAGTGAAGTCTGGGGACAGATGTTAGAAGACTCTGTACTTAAACAAAAAAAGTGCACATTTTGTCTTCTGGAGTCTCGAGGGGGGGAAGAAATGCTGTGTTTGGGTAAATGTGAGATGATAGCACAAAGTGAGTAACTGAACAAAGTACATAGGGCAAGTCTCCAAAATAGCTTACAACCTAAAATTAGGGATAGGCTCTTAAGAGTCCCCAGTTCCCGTTTAGGAATCTAAAATTAAGAGATTGAATTGTCATTGTAATTCAATAACTTTAATTCCCATTGACTGTAATCAGTCCTGGATGCCAAAGTCTTTAGAAATGTTCTCCTGAGTGAATTTGGATCAGAATATGGCTACCTAGATGAGACTGGTTCTTTTGATAGTGGAAACAAACCTCTGTATCATAGTTACCAAATTCTGATTGTTCCGTTTATGTGGAAGTAGGAAGGATGAACATCATTTTTCCTCCGGGCAAAAATTGCACCTCATTATCAAGTCAATGTATTCAATATCAGCTAATAGCTTTTCATGTAGTTCTTGTTTATCCTGTGCCTTAAAATATGAACATATGAAGGTGTTTAAGAAATGGCTAAAAATAAGCTGTGTTGTCTGTATGTACCAACACATTCTCTACTGTTGAAACTGTTTTTAGAATTACTCTGCTTCACTGACAGGAAAACCGGCTTTCTTAATTATAGCAGTGGTATAACCCAAACTCAAATCAGCATGCGTATCACTAGGATTTGGATTAAAAGAATTTTCATTTTCTGTCTTGAATCCTTTATCAGAGCTGCAGCAAATGGTGAGAGTTGAAATGAGAACAAAGGGTAATCAATTCTGTACGGATTGCCTTTTTTGCTCATGTAATTCTACATTATGATGCATGTATTTATTCAATAAATGGTTCATATGGAAGTCAGTGTGTTGCTTCCCTCTACACACACACACTCCCTTTTCCCCTCTTTGCATGTCCCTGTCCTAATTAGTAATATGATGAGGTGAATTTTTAAAATAGTCACGTATGCTGACTACTCTAGCCTAGGTAGCCTGGCTGTAAGGTGTGTAGGCAGATTTTTGAGTTTTACATGAGAGAAAGTGGAGTGAGAAGTACAGGATACTTCACTGGGGGATTCCTTGCTTGTTGGTCTGGAACAGATTCACACATAAGAATTAGTAGGTCCTGCGTTCAACTTAAGTGTCTAAATTTTTTTCTCTTAAAATGATCGGTTGAACAAATGTCACGATTCTAGCACTTACTCATCAATTGTCATGAATTATGTTTTCAAAAGGACCTAGAACTGCATGTAATTGCCTTAGATTTAGAACCAGCAGATTTCTACGTGTGGCAATCTTCCCTGTCCTTCCACCTGCTTGTTAAGGCAGATATTGATAGAAAATACAACTACGTACTGCATAAATAAGAAAAGGGGTATTGGATCCTCTATCTAATACAGAAAAACCACCATAGAAATTATGCTGTTTGCATTAAACATTAATTCTTAATGAATTATAATACCATAATTAATTATGATACCTTTTCCCTTAAACAGCTACAACTTGTCTGAATTCTTAATAGTCAGCCAGTTTTCATCAGCCATAAATAAAAGTTGCAGAAGTTCATCACCCAGTCACTATTGCATTTAGAAGGGACCCCACTGGATAATCTTTATTGATACTAACTACAAAATTATGTTCAGGTTTTTGTTTTTTTTTTTCTAGGGGAGATATCTTCCTTTTTTAGCAGAATAAAGGGCTTCTGATAATCAATGGGAAGGCAGCTAAAGCCAAGTAAAAGCATGCCCATCTTCATAACTCCCTCATGGCAAGGTGTTTCTGGATGGCACGCTTCCTGACAGTGCCAGTACTGACCAGGTGTCTGCATTTTCCAGGCTTGGATCAAAATCAAACCTTCCATTCAGTCCTGCAAGACAGGTGGTAACTGGATCAGCACCTGCAAGAGAATGCTGCCTATGTATTCACAAGATCCTGTCAGAGAGCAGAAATAATTGTGCAAGACACTCCTCCAGATGGATTTGGTATTTATTTGATGGGCTCAGCCAAGCCTAGCCTTTTTCTTAATATTTGCTGTACTGTTTAAACTGTTTTGGGCCATCATTTAGTTCATCCAGTCTCCATCTAAGAGCACTGCTAATACAGTTACCAATATGGTTATTTTAGGTATTTTCTCAGCTAAGAGCTGAATACAAAATTGGTTTCCTATGAGGTTTCTGTTTTAATCAGTTTGTTTGTTTATATTCTCCTCCAGACAAACTCTGAACGTTGGATGGTACCTTTGGTATTTGGTAGAAAGAACCAAAACTTCAGATGGTCCCAGACCTATTTGTGGCTGTAGCTGGTTGCTGAAGTAGTCTGACTATTTAATCACAAATGGTGTTTTTATACATCTTAAAGTGTCTAATTTTATCATTGTATGCTCTCCTACTGATTTCTAAGGCTGTCAGGCTCTCAACAATATTCTCAGTCACCTTCTGAAATATATTATTTGAAAAATGCAAAGCAGCTAAAGTAAAAAAATCTACTGGTATTTCTTTCAGTGCTATGCAGTGAATTTAGCTGCCAGACTAGATGGCAGCTCTGGGAGAAAAGCTCTCTAATCTGTATTCATGCGGTAGAGGTGATGCTCTCTGTTCTCACCGTCTGCAGGGAATATTGCTTGCCAGTCACCTACGGTGGAATCCAATTTGAGCAGACTACCGCATAGCTATTTCCTCAGTTGCTACCAAAGTGAAGCCAACCTGTCTTCCCCTGTTGTTTGTTTGAGTCCCTCAGCAGCCGTAAACTTTATCGCAACGGAATTAAGGGCTAATAGTGACCGTTCTTCCCCTTAAGATCCGTATAGAAACAGGTTCAAGGACAGACAAAGCTAGTCAGGAGTCCAACCTTTCACACCCGGGCTGTGGTAGGGGTGGTTCTTGGCTTGGGGTCAGCGGGGTCCGTTCCTGCCAGGACTTGATAATCCAACTACCCTCAGAGCTGGGCGTGTAGCACCTCGGCCTGAGTGCAAGAAATGACATACAGAAGAAAGTTGTGAAGTCCCAGCACCCTGGCTGTCCTGTGATTTCATTCATCAGGTGCGTAGTGAGAATCTGTTGTGTAACTGGCAATTTTATTTATTTATTTATTTTCTAAGCACAGTAGTTCCTTTCAGCAGGAGGTTGAACTCAATGACCTGCTGAGGTCCCTTCCAACCTGAATTCTTCTATGACTCTTGAGTACTTTTTTTTAGTGTTAAAATAAGGTCAGTAAACGTACTGGAGCTCTTGTGCAATCTTGGGCGCGTGCAGTAGGTCTTCCCAGGCATTTTGCCGCCTGGCCCCAAGCTCTCGGAGAGGGACACGTAGCAACTCTGGCTCAGCAAAAAAAGGGGGCACGTAGCAGGAAGTTGCAAGCTTTGTTAAGTCAGAATGCAAAAATTGTGCAGTAATTAAAAATACAACTTGAGTTGTAATGTAGATAATGCTAGCAAAGTCATAACTGTCTGTAGGTACTGAATGAAGTCATTAATTTTACTGGATAGCTGGGATGAGATCCCTAAAACAAAAAATGGTGCACGCATTTAATGGTGGTTGTTTCCAGCACAGAATTTCAAATAAGTTTTTTTTATTCTTCAGCTGGATTTGCAAGCTAATGTGTTATTCTACAAACTTGCAGAGACTGGCAACTGGAACTTACCAAGCATTTCACAAAGATTAATAATTTAATAAAGACTATTCTGCAAGACAGTTCCATGCAGACTTCAACATAGGAGAAATACTTCAACTGATAGGCTGAAGTCCCTGATGTATTTTGCATGGTTTTTCATTGCTATCTGGAAGTTTAGTTGAAGTTACCACGTTGCAATGTTTTCAGCCTAGAAATGATAAGACCCTTTACCTGTTTTTGGCATGAATCGTGAGATGTTCTCTGAGCTAAAGTAAGTATGATAACCACTGAAAGGGTGCTCTACTGTAACTTTCAGCTCAGAGCCCAGCTGGATGAATTTGACAAACTGTGACAACAGCATCCAAACGAAGAACGCGGATTGTCTCTAGACCTGTCCTTCATACAGGTGGTGAAAATGAAATGAAAGGTAATGAAAACGAGTTAATGGAAATGGCTGGTGGTGACTCGTAGATGGTATTTGTAGCAATGCTGGTTCTTCGTGTTTTATTAGGTAAACCATTAATGTGCATGTAAAACAAGTTGGATTTCAAGGTTTAAAATGCTAAGATGAGCTTTCTGAAAAGAGATGTAAATCTTAGAGTTTTAGGCAACTTTGTTCTAGGTCACTTTTTTTTTTAATTTGCTTTTTCAAGTTCAGATTATTGGAAATGTAAAAAATGCTTCATTTTTAACATTTTTTATAAAGCATTTTAGTTTTGCTTATCTTGTCTTTCACAATGAGACTTGAAAGTTTTTGGATTTATACTCATTACTACACAATTTTTGTTTTCTGAAGACACCGTTCTGTTCCACTAGATGGTGGTGCAGACCCTGTTCTGAAAGGCCTTTTTTGCTGCCCGTGCACTTCGTTTCTTTTAGAATAATGAAGTGGTTTGGATTCTAGGCATCTTTGGGAGTGGAGCCTGAAAGTCATCCTAGCTTAAAAGCAGTGAAAAACAGGCATGGTCCCCACTGCACTCTGCTCTCCCCCTTTGCTCTGAGGCACAGGTGATACGAAAAGAATTGAGTTTCATAACGGGGGTTAATAATATCTGGATTCAATTTGCCAAAATGTTTTTGTAAAAGCATTTAGTCATGAGGCACTGGGAAATAAAACAACTTGATTTTATTGAGGAAACATGAAGCTTCTCCTGGAAGATTAAGGTTCTAAGTTCACCATAAATTTAGCATGCCTCTGTTAGCAATTCGCTGTAGGTGCTTCTGCCTTAGGTACCTGGCCTAGACAATGAGATTTGATTATAGAACTCCCTCGAGTTGCTGGCACAACTTTAATAAGATTAAGCGCAAAAACTTGAAATTAATCAGAGGCAGGCAGAAGTGAAATTACAGTTTAAGACACGGAAAAGGGCCTTGACCAGCACATTTTTGAAACATCATCATGCTTTAAGTATTTATTTCTACTGTTGATTCAAGCATGAGGCTAGAAACTCAGGATATCTAACAACAGTGAAATCCATCATGGAGCAGTACAATAAACACGGGGGGGGGAAAGGGGCAAAGACCAAATTCTACTAGAAAAAAAATCTTACAAAACAATTTTCCTTTGTTTAAGGACATGATCGGAAAATATTTGCCAAATCACATTGTCACCAGGTCTTGTGATACTGTTTGATGCACAGAACAGAATAATCGACAGGTATGTCTAAACCAGTGAATGTGTGAGCACTTCCAAGTGCCTGACTCCAAACGTATCCCCCCAGCCTGATACTGCACGGAGCAAGTGCTACACTCGCTCAGTTCCCTGTTTGTTAGTTTTGCATGAAAGAAGCTGGACCATGCAAGAAAAGCATGGTGGGCTTTGGTTAGGTTCCTGGTCTGGATCAGGAACACGGGGAACACCCGTGTCTCAGCCTTGACAAAGCCAGCACTGATGTGGGCGACAAGTAAATGCTGATATATTCTCCAGCCAACGTAAAGTAGTCTGTCATTTGTTTGTATGCATGTACATACACATATATATATAAAAAAACTAATATGGACGAGCAAATCATGTCCATTCTGATATTTATATAGTATTTTCATGTTTCATACTAGACAGATGGAACAGAGGTGGTGTCACATCTAGATGATGCATGTTTATCACAATGAAACCTCTAAGAGCACTTGTAAAATTAATAATAACAGTAGTTTTGTACTTTAGAAACAATTCTTCTCTTTATCCATGAAGTCTAAAATAGAATGAGAGCTGAAAGGAGACAGAACACTTACAAGACCTGTAAATCTCTAATAAT